CCATATAATTTTTTCAATGTATTATTATAGCGATTTTTCACTTATGGTCTCTTTTCTTTATGGTGCTTCTGTGTACGTCACCGCTTCAGGAAAGCATTTCCGACCCCACATTGCTATATGATTTCGAGTCGTCAGGATGCCCCCTACCCCTCTTAGAAATTCTGAAACGCTTAACTGAGACACCCTGTATAAACAAGCTCTAAAAAACTTATACAAGGAAGTTCCATAATCACCACAGATATGTCTTTAGAATACTTATCAAATTGAAATCTCAAATTAGTGTTAAAGCTATAAAAGAAAAATGCATCCCAAACATAATTTATTAACAAAGATTGAGATAATAAGTCAATCAAAACCTGTTTGGTTCATGGATAAATCTAAGAGGAGGTGAAAAGTAACAATTAAACCAAGTCTTCAAGTTGTACCTGTCAATCAAGCTGGTTTTGATGGATTTAATACTACTGTCAGTAAAAGTTATTTGTTCTGTTTTGGTAACATTCTTTTCCTTACTTAAATTTTAATTTGCAATCCCTTATGTGCTTACTATTTTGATGTTATTTTTGATAAGGATTCTATAATATGCATTAAAAGTGGTGATTACAGAGCCTCTAAATCTTTGAAGCCTTGAATTTGTTTCTTGTTAATTTTTTTTAAAATTTGAATATTTGCTTTCATAAATTTTATTTTCAATTAGCAGTTCCACCTAATATGGAGCCGTCACCTAATCAAATTCTATTTCTAACTAATCTTCCTGAAGAAACAAATGAAATGATGTTAACTGTTCTTTTTAGGCAGTAAGTATTTTTTTATGTAATCATATCCCTATATCCTTGATTTCATTATATTTGCAAAAAGTATAGTATATATTTATATAGTATATACATATATTATATAGTATATATTTGTAAAAAGTATATTTATATTTCATTATATTTGAGGTCCTACGTTTTTCAACATATTGAATTTATGTTATTGAATTATTTATTTAAACTTATTTTGTTTCATTTTCATCTTAAAATTATTTTTGTTTTAATAATTATCACCTGGATCATTTTCAAGCTTTTTTTTGTGAATGGAATTTATTTATGGGAAATGTAACTGTTATTTGAGAATTTACTACTTAACGCAACAAAATAATTTGATTAAACTAATTGAATTAATTACTTTGAGTAAAATAATTGGAGAGTTTGACTTCTTCTATTTTTCTAATGCAATTAATTTTGGTAATACAGTCAAACCCCGCTATAGTGAACCCTCAACGGACCGAAATTTCGGTTCACTATAACCGGGAGTTCACTATATCCGTTGAGCAGGCAATTTCACCAGTGGTTCCCAAACTCCTCCCTTTTATTACATTATATTGATATAAATGACTGAAAAATATTATGTAGTAGCAAAAAATGTGTTATTTTCCATCACTCTTCATCTTGCGTACAAATAAAAATTAGTACTCTTTAGCTGATGAGCAATCCTCAACATCAGATATGGAAACACTTCCCGACTCTCAGATAATTTTTTCTGAATTTCTGTTATTCCGCTTTTTAAACCTGTCTAACCTGCCATTTGAGCACATAAAGGTAGTTTCTATAGATGGTTTTAAAAATCGGTATATGTATTTATTTTGATGTACAAATTTCAAAATTATTACAAAGAAAATTGGGGGGAAATCAGTCGAAGACAGAAAGAATTTCATTATATCCAACTTCCTCACTTTTTTGGTTCACTATATCCATTAAAAATAACATTATACGAGTATAGCATGGCACGGGACCGAGCATTTCGTTCACTATATCCGGGAGTTCACTATAGCGGGGTTTGATTGTATTTATATTGTCTCTTTATTTCTTCTATTAACTATAATATTAAATTTGATTCGGCAAATTCAATTATGAGTTTCCTAAACCTGCAAAGATGATGCAGCTGTGACAAAGTGGGACAAAAAGTACTTATCACTATGAGTGACAAAACCCCATATTTTTTATATTTTCTTATGATATTTGGCACCAAACTGCTCAAATGCCAAAGAAATCTTTTAGTTTTTATAGATTTTTTTATGGCATCACAGTTTTTTGTTGTTGATAATGTTACAAATAAGATTATTTTTTAAAAATCTGGACTCGCTTCTTACAGTTAAGGGGACATACAATACATCAGGATTTGTATTCGCACAATTTTAAAATCAAGCATTGAAATTCATATTCACACGATTTGAATATCACACATCCCCATTTCACATGATTTTTAAAAAATTAAACCTGATTTTTATTCTTACAATTTAATTATTACAAATCATGTTTCTTATTCATGTGATTTTATTTTAATAGTAAACCATACTAATAAGTAAGAAATGTAAAGAAAAAAAAACAATTTTTGTATGTAGCCTACTTATAATACGAAACATATTTAACATTTTTTTTCAATGTTCTCACAAATAGTTTCCAAATTTGTCTTAACAATTAATATCTCTATTAATATAGTTATGAAATGTAAGTATTTTATATTTTTAAAATATGCCTCATAATGTAGATGAATTTTGTTTACTTATATTTTAATGTATAATTATTAAAATTTCATGCAATAAGATTAAAAAGAAATACTACTTACTAGACTACTACTACTTAATACTAATACTAGAAATACTATTTCTACTCTTTTTTGTAAAATTTTCAAAATATGTTTATATTTTATTGTATGTTATTTAATTAATGTTGCATTATGTTATTAAGTACAATATATTGTACTTAAGCTCAATTATGATTTAAAAAAAAGGAGAAAAAAGTATTTTATTATTTATTTATTAATCAATTTGTACTAAAACACACCTTTACTACTATATTGAATGTGTGGTTGCACCATAGTTATAATTTTTGGCAATTTCAAATATTTTTGATCGAAAAATATTTTATACTCTTAATTAAAATTTTTATCGATTCAATAGGTAATAAAAGAAAACTTATTTTTAACACTTTAGCATATTTATGCAACAAACCAAGATATTTTTGAATTGTTTTATGCAAAATATTAATTTATAGTGAGAAAGGTTTCTATATAGTTCAGTAGGTTTTATTTTGGGTCTTAAAATACTATTTTGCCTCTTTTTTTTTAAATAAACAAAAAATAAACTGTTTTAAGCATGAAAAAAAAACAGGTTCTTTTCCAACTGTGATAATGATTTGATATAATTTATTTTCTACTCTTAAATTTGTTTAAAAACATATTTTAAATTTTATTTAGTACAAATCTCTTTTCTGCTGGAAACTATCATTAATTTTAGATGCCATATCTTAAAAAATGTCTTTTTTCCCCCCTCCCTTTGTGAAATATGTGAAATTACAGTTGTACGGTTTAACTTAAAAAATCAGTAAGAACTGGGGTTTTTCTACTCAAGACACTAAAATATTTTCTGTTGTAATGAGAATGAAAGAACTAATTAATTTTTGAGAAAATATCTATTCTTTTTCTTTCAGGTTTCCTGGTTTTAAAGAAGTGCGACTTGTTCCTGGAAGGCATGATATTGCTTTTGTGGAATTTGATAACGAGGCAGTAGCTGCTGCTGCCAAAGACTCTCTACAAGGTTTTAGATTGACTCCAACGCATCCAATAAAAATTACATTTGCCAAAAAATGAGAGACTTAAAAGTAATCAATTGTAAAATGGGAATTCAACTTTATTATATTTCATTTTATTCAAATCATATGATATTGTGGAACTGTTTGAGTAGATAACTTATTACATTTTCTTTTGACCCTTTTTGAAAATTTATATATTTTTTCTAAGAAATTTCCTTTACATGAATTGAATATCAACATGAATATTTTTTTTTATTATCAAAATCTTTTAGCAAATCTTGCATTTCATAATCTTTATGTTAATTTCTGTAATGTGAACATATTTTGTTGGTTGTATCATCTGGGTTATGCCATTGTATGTCCATTTTGTCTGTAAATTTTGTTTATTTTTGTGAATGATTTCTATTATGTCCAACCTATTTAGTTTTGTAAAAAATTGAACACTTGAATGAAGTTTTAATATTCTTTCCTAAAACTTATATGTTTTTGTCTGGTCTTGGAATGTACACAATGCATTTAAGGAAAATCTTATAAGCTTATTACATATTAACAAGCTTCAAGTTATTGATGATGATTGATTTATTCACTGCTTTAAAATAAAAAGTAGTGTGAAATATTTTAATACTACAATTCATTTTAGTGTTTTGTAGAACTGGAGCTCTTTGTTACAACTTCGATATACAGTGAAACTTCTGAGTTACAACCACCACTAGGACCAAATAAGTATTTTCATAGTTGGTGTGTAAATTCAGAGTTATAAGCATGCTTAAAGAAAAACTTAACTTTTTATTGCAAAAAGAATACCATTGATAGAGAGTCTCCATATAATGGTTTGTTACAAAATTAATGTGCACAGTTAATTGGTGTACATTAATAACTTAATACTTATTTCTAAGAAAATAGCACATCAATAAGTAAAATTTTTATATAACTGGAATGTCATACATTTTCTAAGTCTGGGGCACATGATATAAATTGCTAATTGCTTTCAAAAAAATAATAAAAAGTTCATTGTTTTATAAGCAAATACAGTTAATAGGAATTATGAGCAAAAAAAAAAAAGATAAAAGCAATAGCTTTACAGAGGTGGTCAGTAAAAGAGGTTTCATTGTATATAGATTTCACATGTTGTAAAAAAAAATTTTGTACTTGGATGTGATATACATTATTTTTCAATGTATTGTTAAATTTTTTGTTGCATTGCTGAGAAAGAACTTCTTGTAATTTTCTTTACAATCTTTTTCATATTAAATTTTTTTAGCAAATTATTTTAATTCTTAATACTTTCCAATGTTTGGGTAACTAATGAATAAGCAAAAAATATTAATTGAACTAATCTACTGTTTGCTTTTAATATAATTTTTTCTGTAAAAGTTCACAATTTTGCTTAATTATTCATGCAAATCTTGTGATGCAACAATTATTTGTCAAATGAGTAGAATTTCACTACTCAGTCTTATGTAAAAATTAATTTTTGAAATTTGATAAATAAAATGCTTTTTTTTTTTGTATGGTGCTTTTATAGATTCTTAATGATATATTTCTCAGTAAATTTGTGAAAATAAGTTTTTTTAATATTATAAAAGCCTTTGTATCAAGATCTTTTAGCTTAACAAAGGCTTTGTTACACCTATTTTCTTTACCAAGATTTATATGTTGTAGCTGAAACCCATAAGGAAAAAAATAAAAAAAAATTATTTACCATATCACATTTTAACAGAATTGCAGTCCTTGCTTTACAAAACAACATAGAACCTTCAACATTGTTTTTGCATCTTAGTTATATAAGTAAAAGGGATTAAGTTAGTAGAAAGTGGCAGGCAAATCTTAACTTTTAAATTTAATGTTTAGTTATTAACTAACTCTCTAAAATGTGTATTGTTTCTAGAGAGAAAGAACGTTGTTAGCTTCAACTGTTATACCATCAAAGAGTGAAATTAGTGTAAAACCCATTGAAACTTCATATGATTAACATAACCACTTTTTTCTTGCAATTATTGAGATTAAAATAACACCATATTCAGTAATGTCTATTTAAATTATTTCATTTTCATACTGTTAGTTGAAAAAATATTATTTTACTTTACTTATATGCACTGAAGAGCCAAAAAAAAAACTGGTACAGGCACGAGTATGCAAATAAAGGGGTATGGAGTCAATCAAAGTACAGCGCTGCGATTGGCAATGCGTATATAGGACGAGTGTCTAGCACAGTTCTTAGATCCGTCACCTTTTACAATGCCAGGTTATACAGATTTAAGGGAGTTTGAACTTGGTGTTATAGTTGGCGCACGGGAGATGGGCATCTCCGAGATAGAAATGAAATTTGGATTTTCCCGAGTAAGCCCCGAGTATCTGAAATCCGGTAAAACATCAAATCTACGACATCGTTGCGGTCGGGAAAAGATCACGCAAGAACGGGATCAATGCCAATTGACGAGAATCATTAAACGTGACAGACGTGCAGCCCTTCCACAAATTGCAGCAGATTTCAATGCTGGGCCATCAACAAGTGTCAGCGTGCGAACCATTCAAAGAGACATCATTGATATGGGCTTTTGGAGCCAAAGGCCCACATGTGTACCCTTGTTGCCTTCATGACACAAAGCTTTGAGCCTTGCCTGGGCCCATCAACACTGACACTGGACTGTTGACGATTGGAAGAACGTTGCCTGATCTGTCGAGTCTCGTTTTCAGTTGTATCGAGCTGATGTACGGGTATAGAGACAACCCCATGGGACCTTTGATACGTCTAGATAAGAATCTGACATGTGATGGGTACGTAAGAATCTTGTCTGATCATCTACACTCATTCATGTCCATTGTCCTTTCCGACGGACTTGGGCAATTTCAGCAGGACAATGCGACACCCCACACGTCCAGAATTGCTACAGAATGGATCCAAGAGCACTCTTCTGAATTTAGACACTTCCGCTGGCCACCAAAATTCCCAGACATGGACATATTTGGGATGCCTTGCAGCGAGATGTTCAGAAGATATCCCCACCCCCTCTTACTCCCACTGGTTTATGAACAGCCCTGCAGTATTCATGGTGTCAATTATCTTCAGCACTACTTCACACATTGATCGAATCCATGCCACGTTGTGTTGCGGTACTTCTGCTGCTCACGGGAACCCTAAACGATAGGCAGGTATGCCAGTTTTTTTTGGCTCTTCAGTGTAGATATGCTTATCAGATTTCCAGCATAATATAAAAGTGTTAACCACTGAAAAATAAGGTGAAGGTAACTTGCTTTACTAAACACTACCTTTCCTGGAGATCTCAATGTTTTACTGTTATTGCATTACAAACTGAGCCTGTCTGGTCCAATAATCCAGTGCAAAAGTGGATTCTTGATACCCATAAAGTAGACAGAAGATTCATTTTTTGAAAAAAGAACACATAGTTAATTTTCTGAAAGAGAGTACTATGTTGAATCGGTTAATGCTACCCATATTTCTTTTTAACTTATAACTAGATGTTTAGTATTAAAAATGGAATTTAAAATAAAAAGTTACAAACTCCAAAAAATTTACATTTAATAATATTTGACAATAGACAAAATGTTCTTTTGAAATGTTTTGAAGGTGTGTTAACATTAAAATTTTTGTTTGATCACACTGTTAGTTAGTAATTTCCCTCCACTCATTGTTGTTCAAGAAATTTGAGATGGTAAAGTTAAATTCAATTCTGTTTCAAGTACATTTTTTTTAATATTTCCAATGCCTCCATGTGTTAATATTTCGTAAATTCAGGCATTTTACAGGGTGGATTTGTTGGCCACCATATTAGATGTTTAAAGTATACCTTTTAAAGAAAACTTTTTACCAGCATGAACCAGGATATGGCAAAATCTATGCCTTCTGTTAATGTTTATAAAAATAGGTGTTTTGACTTTATGGAGAAACAGAAAAACATTTGTATTACACTTTTTGCTATGGAAGATAGCAATTATTGTGATATTTAAGGTTTTTGTAAATCCAACTAACTCTGGAATTACAGACTAAAGCTTAATGTAACAAGTATTAATCTTTCAAAGTTACTTGCAAAACATTATAAAGAAAACTAATGTCAAATATTCTGCAATTAACAACTTATTAATAAAATTATGTATAATGAACTGTTTTTTCTAATATCAACAAAAGTTAGAAATTACCCCCCCCCCTCCTCAGCAGTTGTACAGGGAGCAAATCTTCACACTTTTTCTCAGGAATTGTGGGAATAAAATTTTGTGCATAGAAACAATATTAGCAAATAAATTTTTTTTCTTGAAAAAAAAAATGCTTCACACAAGTATTAAATGACATGTTTCAAGTATTTCTGTTCAGAAGAAATTGCAGTTTTCCGTAAAAATACAGTCAAGAAATTCACAATTTGGAAGGAAACACTATTTTCCACCTGTAATTTATTAGAAAAAGTCGAGAAAAGTAAATAGATTATTTTATCGACTTGTTGTGACTGACTTTTAATATAACTGGTGTTCTGCAGATTATCACAGAGAGAATAATCTGCAAAAGTTTATAACGTCATTATAAATATCGCAGTAAAAGTCTGTTAATACTTTTAAATTTGTTTTAATTTATAAAAACTACATATTATATCCATCAGGACTGAATGATGGTAAGATTTTGGCATTGCTTTGTATTGTCACGCTAACATCACAATGTTTGGTACTGTGTAAATTCGAATTTTTGATTGATCGATTAAGGCATGATCTTGAAATAAACTATCTTAAATTTAGTTCATCAATATTTATTTTAAAAAAAATCAATCTATTCTATCAATATTTATTAAAAAAAGAGAAAGGAATGCAAAAAAGTAAAATATTCGTAATTAGTAAGTTGCATTTTTAAAAAAAATAAACTGCATTTTTTATATTTTCTAACGATTATTATTTCTCAATATTTAAAGACTTGGATGTCTGCAAAATAGTTGTTATAAAATCAACAGGATTTGCACAATTGAAAGAAAACACTCAGATTCTTAATTACATTGGGATTCATCGTGTCAGCAAAACAAAGAGTCACTATGTAACGAGGAAAAATAACGATCATCACTACAGCTATCACTGTACACTTATGGAGGGAAATGATCTTTAAGCGACCTTGCAGACAAAGGTGTCGTGATCAGAAGTGCTCTTCGTATGCACTTGAAACCCTCAATATACTGTCGGGGAACAACATTCAACATAGCGCAAGTAGTCAAAGATACAGTGGGAAACATAATACACATTTCAGTAAATCGTGATTTCCGATGCTTCGAAAATTGCCAATCTAAACATTGGATCGGTGATGATATTAATAATATTGATATTTTCCGATGTGCATCGATTTATTGCCCAGTCCTAACATTCACTCTTATTAAACTTTTTATATTTCATCACTCATGTTGCTCAGATAAAAGTGGAATGGTAATTAAAATGGATTACATTTTTGTTGCACATCAGTACAAATTTTTCTCTAAGATGTTTTTCAAAAAGAAGAGAGTACAAACTTTCTACTTCTTGATAACTATTTTTTGTTGCTTATATGAACTATTTAGTTCTAAAATTTCGGTTAGGCATAGATGTAGAGGTCTCAAAAGTTGCACATTAAGCATCCATGTACTATGCTATGAATTCTGTACCCAGCTTTAATAACCATTGCCTTTTAAGATTTGTTATTCTGATAATTAAGTTTAATGTCACAATAAGTTATAGGGTGAATTAAAAAAAATAGCTCTTGTTTCTGTAATGTCTGGTGACTTGTCTAAGTAGTAAATTTGTGGATAACAGCGAGATTAAGGGCTAAACATCATTATAAAATATACATGCCTTGCATTAATAAGATAGAATAAGAAAAGAAAATTTATTTTGTACTAATTGAAGCATTGATACACAAATTGATGTTGCTACAAATAACAATGCCATAAATACAGTCACATAATCTTTGGCTAAAATTACAATCAGTATCACTTTAAAAAAATTAAAACACAGAAATGTATACAATAAATTGCATAATTATTTGTACATGAATAGCAATGCCACAAATAAATGCATAATCTTATATAGCGACAATGATCAAGATGATTTACTTTCTAAATATTTCATCACTCGGTTCCATTTGTCAAAAATCAATCTAGTAAAGCGTGCTTTTACTGAACTAAAACTCTATAAATAGCATCAATTTTAGAATTTAAAATTTCAGCTCTATAATGTGAAAAGCGTAATAGTACAAGTCTGCATTTCAGCTCTGTTAGACAAAAAAATAGACTATTTCTGATGAAAAAAAAGTTCCTAGGAAATATATCTACCATGATAAGTGTAGTTATGAAAAAGAGGAACTAATAATTTTATGTAACAGAAGACACAGACATACTGCTCTGCGATGAACTTGATTCATTTCCTGCCACTGACAAAGGATGACCAGAGTCAAATGTAGAACTGCTTTCAGAGCTGGTTACACTCTTTAGAGAATGGAAGTTTTGCATGTGTGCTTGATAATCAGCACTGCTCAAAAAAGTTCTTTTGCATAATCTACACACTCTTGTACCTTGTTTACGCCCTCTTTTGGCAGGATTGGCACTTTCTACAAAAAAAGATAAATATATAAACATAAAAATTTAGTACATAGTAATAAAGGAATGGTGCGTAGTGTTTTAGAAAATGAACTAAAGGTGCTTATTTTTGATTTTCATTTTTAGAAAGCCCTTAAAGGTGTTTTTTTTTTACTGGGTGTTTTAAAAAAGTGCTTAATTTTCTTTTTTCAATAATTAAATTTTTTTCTTCACCATATCGATTTTCGCCATGTATTAAACAAAAGCGTAGTTTTCACATTGTTCTATTTAGTGTTTTCACAATTTATCCAAACACAATGCATTTCAGCATACTGTCTATCTGAAGCGCCAATCATTTTATATGTTTGATGAAATATTTGCTGGGTTCAGCGAGATGCTTGTACTATCATGCGCAACTTTGCTTCATTTTACACCGAAATCAAACCAAAAATATCTCTCAATCTTTTAAGTTAAATAATATAATCAGGAAAAGAGTTCTTTGTCAGAAACTAGATATTTTATCATGATCATGTAAAGTCTTTGAAAATCACTTTGCATTTTGTTAATGTATATAGGGCTTAAAAATATTTTTTAGTGCTTAAAAAATGCTTTTTTTGTTGATAAATTTGGCTACGCACCCTGAAAGGGAATAATTATGAATAGAATCACTCACCTGGTGATGATGGTTGAAATGAGTCAACTAAGTGTCCATGGAATTTATTTCTGTGAAGAGAGAGAGCATGCTTACTCAATAATGGCTTTCTGCAGACTTCACAGAAGTACCAAAGTCTTTCTGTTACTCTTGTTGTGCCCCCTGGTCCTTGATGCTGCTCACGAAAATGTTTTACTAACGTTGCTGGCCAAATGAAAACTTTAGGGCATAAAGGACACTGAAATTGGGAAGTACGACAGTTAGGATTTGTGTTAAGATGACTTTGGGCATCACTTAGAGTAGTCATTACATATTGGCAGTTTGAGCATATTAGTGGAAGTTTCAGTAATGTTTTGTCACTCATCGTAGTAGGATGGGTTTCTAGAATATGAACAAAAAAATTAAGGCATTAAAGAAGGAATAAATAAGCAATGTTTATATATCACCAGAGATGCCAACTTGCTCCGCTTTGAAAAAAAATATTTTCAAGTCATAACGAAATTTATATTACTTTTAGTTTAATATTTTTTATTTTAAGTAATTTTTCCACCACTACATATCCCATATTCTAAGTATCATACGAAATGTAACTTTATAGCAGTTATCACGTGTTGACACATTTAAAGAGTAGGGGTAGTTATCCTTATTCTAAAAGTTTTACAATTTAATTCGCTACCAATTTATTAAAACTTTATCAGAAAGCGGAGCAGTTGGCAACTCATTATTACAGTGTGCAAAAGTTAGGGACGCTCAACACAAAGAAAAGTTAGAACGGGGAGAACAAACGTAAAGGGAAAAATTATTTCGGGAAAAGGTAAATTTTTATATTTTCTTGAATCAACCTTATTTTCTTCTTTTGATTTTATTAAAGTGTTCATACAAAATATGATCACTAAAATTTATACTTCAAAAATAAAGAACATATTTACAGTTTTTGCAACAAAGAAAAGAACTGAAATGAGGCAAAGGCAAACATAAACAACCAGTCCCATTTGTTCCTACACTAAGAGCATAGGGGAGATTGCACTAGTGCTTTGGCATCCCTGACTGAAATTTAAAATGCTTTCTAGAAGTCTTGTGTTTTTTATGATGAAAAAAATTACTTATAATGAAATTCGTTTTAATGATTGAGTTTTTACAAACCACACTAAATCAACGTAGTTTCAAAATATAGATAGATTTTTCTCTTTTTTTTGTATCACCTAGTTAAAAAGACAAAATAGTTTTTTCCTTATTCAAGTTATATAATATTTTTAATATATATATAACCATAACTTAACAGCCTCTTCTAACCATTTCATTAAGTTTTTGAATATATACTAAGTAAGTGATCACTAAGGCCCGGATTTTGATGACATTTGCATTTTTTTGCATTTTTTGCATTTTTGGACATTTTTTGTCTTTTAGAGCATTTTTTTAGATTTATAGGGCATTTTTCTTTAAATTTTGGGGCGTATTTTGCATTTTAATGCATTTTTTAAAGTTTTCTGTTAATTTTTTCCAATTTTTATTATTTTTTATCAATTTTCATTATTACACTGGCTTCCAAACAATGAAGAAAATCTATAGGATATTAACAGGTGAAGCAAAATCTTTTCAAATTGAAGAAGAATTGTCAGTAAGTGAGACCGTCTTTTTCAAGTACACACCTATAACATCAGTAGACGTTGAAAGAAGCTTCTGCAGGAATGAAAATTTACTTTCAGACAAGAGACGCTCGTTTACATTTCAAATTATCAAAAAACATTTAATAATCCAATGCAATTCTGATATTTAGTAATATTATGTTACTAATATTTTGGTGTTATATCCATCAAAGTTTCTATACAAAAGAAAAATATTTTGGTGTCAATATATTTTCCTTTTTTTGTTATTTTAGGATATAAAACATATTTTTCAAACTTTAGTGAACGTAGAACAAGTATTGCATTGCTTTATATTTTTTAAACGACTCATAATAATTTTAAAGAGCAAAACATTTTTTTAATTCAATATTTTTACTTTATTTAAGGCATTTTTTGCATTTTTAAGGGCATTAGTTGAGATTTTTTAGGTCATCAAAATCCGGGCTCTAGTGATCACCAATGCACTCACATTAGAATGAAAACTTAGTTTGGCTTTGAAAGTTCTTTCTAACAGTGAACCCCAACTAATCTTTACATTTTAGTTTTTAAAAATATTACTTTAATGACTGGAATTTAGTTTTAAATTTTTAAGGTTAAACATAAAATAAGAATTTGTAGGCCCAAAAACTTTTATTATACTGAAGGCGTTTTCACTACAAAAATAAATGAAATGTAGTGAACTGAAAATGAAATGTAGTTTTTCAATGAAATGTGTTCACTACATTTCATTGAAAAACTTAGTAAATTTATTTTAATTCACTTGGGTGCATTAATAATGGATATTATAATACAGAATAAAAAAACTTAAAATTTTTCAAAACAAAACTCGAAAAAAAATAATTTATTTTAAAATATACTGACTGTTTGAAGATAAATTTTTTCTGTAAGTTAACCAGATAGAAAATTCTAATGAACTAGCTGAACTCTTCAGTGGCTAAGAGGATATTTTCCATTTCAGAAACCCACAGTTGGAATTGAAAGTAATATTTATTGAACTATTCTGATTTTGCTTTCTGCATACTTTTCAGCATTGTGAAAAACGTTAAAATTACTGGTTTTTTGTATCACTTTAATATTTATCAACCTTTTATTAAGAATAGGGAACGTTTGGGAACTAGTTTGACTTCACTTGTTAAACAGTTTCACTCTAGTTTTATGAAATTTCATTTTGATAATAATTAATTAATCAATTAATATTATTTCCTTTTCATTTTGGCAAAGTTTTGGAAAGAAAAAAAAACAATTTTTATAAAAGCTCCAATTTTTTTTTCTCACTGCATATAATATTTTTACCTTTAGAGTATGGAAGTTCTTGATTATAATAGGCATGGCAATTTTGTACTTCTGAGAAATTTCCATCATCAGCTAAATCCAAAAGGCTCCTTTCATCTTCATACTCACTTTCACAATTGGCCAACATTTGTTTTTCATCCAGAGATTTTGTAGGCATTATCTAGAGTAAAAGGAATATACACACAATAAAATACTTCATATTCAAAAAGACTTTTACAATTGACTAATAATGAATAGTCTTAATAAAAAAAAAGGTTTCTTAAGGCTGATTTCAAAATATATCAAAATAGTTTTTCTTGAGACACTAGACTGGCAAAATTATATTTTAGTTTTAGTGAGAGAAAATTGGTGATATAAGTGTATAAATTATAATATTGGAGAAATTTATACTATCAATTTCAGAATATTTTTTTTAAAATATAAATGACTACTAGTTGAACATTTATTAATAAAAATACAAAACTAACGGAAATTACATATTCAAGTTTCATTTTTCTTTTAAAAGATTTCTTAACTTTTTTTTTTCTCCATAAAATAATTCTCAATTTTTCCCCCCATGATTCATTATAATCATAAATTTAAGGATAATGACTAATTTGATGTTTATTAATGGAAGAGTAATCTAATAATGCTGCAATGAAAAACAAAATATCAGCTCAGTAAGGTATAAAATAATATTTTCATTCTAATTTTTCCTAACCCAAGAAAAAAATAAATCTTGTCTCAGTTAATTAAAGATAAAAGAGACACTTTAAGTGTTTAAATAAAATGTGGTGAATAAAATTATTCAGAAAATAAAAATTTAAGGAAAATAAAATGTATAAAAAAAAGTGTAAAAATATAAGAACAAATAAAACATTTGTAAATAAAAGTTGAAATTATATACAACCACCAATAATAAAAAGAGAGAAAAAAAAATAGTATAAAATCATAAAATGAATATAAGAAAATAACTAAAAAATTACAATCTCAGCCAAGCAATAAAGATGAACTCCTTCGTAAAAATGAGGTTGATGATATCAGGGTATTTGTTAGCCATTTTACAAAAAGGGCCTGAAGTTTTTTTCTTTGTAAAATGCAGAGCAATATTTCCATATTAAACTCCCAGACAACAAGTTACCCCTTTAAAATGAAGGCTTAAAAATGTTGACTTGGCAAACCTAAAAACCAAAATTTTATATGAATAATAAGATACTTAATGTTTCTAGACTGAATGATTTCTTAAATGAGAGAGACACAGTTAATAATTGAAAGGTTAGTTGTGAAACAATGACAAACCCCATTTTCAATATTTTTATATTCCTTTAAAAAGTGTTAGTAAAATGTTATAGTATTTAATCAGTTTTTGGGAGAAATGAAGAGGCATATTTTAGAATGAAAATAAGGTAGCTAGAATAAGAAGCTATCTACTAACATCACTTAACCATAGATTTACACATTTTTATTTTCTCAATGAGTGGCTTGTCATTGCTTCACACAAACCTTTGAATTTTAAAATTATAAAGATTCAATAATAATGAATTTGTGTAGGCAACAGAAATTAAAAATTCACAGAAATACTTTAGAATATACAATGAAATTAAATGAAGACACATTAAAATGTAACTCACAAGACATAGAGTTGATGTCAAGTTATTTCTGAGATAATATGAAAGTTATGAAAAAACTTCAGAAGTATTTTAAATCACAGAATCTATGTAGTTTTAACTGCATTTCCAAATACAATTTAACAAATGTTAAAATTTGAAAATTATAAATGACTAGCACTTGAAAAACATCATCAAAAGGAAAAACATTGATGTGTTTGGAAGGTTATGGAACAATATTTTTATTTTGAGCCACAGTTTTGTATTCTAGAAATATTTTATTCTACCCAGAATTGTTCTAAAAAAGGTTTTTTTTCCTTTCAGTTTAAAAAATGAAATTAATGATAAAATGTAACTAATTATATATTTACAACTTAAGCAATAGAAATTAAAATTTTTAGTAAATCTAGTACAATTCTATGACTCAGTTTTGCTGTTACTAACTTGAGCTACACTAATGTTTTTTTTTTTCTCCGCAATTTGAAGAAAAATTTCTGCTTTTGAGTAGTATTTTTTAAAGCACATCAAGAGTGGGCTCCTTGACGTGTTACACATGCATTTGTGTAAAAATGCATGAAGTAGTTAATTTGAAAAAAAAAAAGTCACAATATATATCAGACAAACTTCTATAACCCAAAAGTCTGTAATTTCATTACATAAGTAAATTTTGTTATCAGGGGTCTGTCTAGGTTATTATAAAAGGTACATATTTTGTGAAAATTTAGAAATAATTTGCAAAAATTAAAAAATCAACACAACACTCAGCACACTTAGCATATTGAGATAACAGTATACTGAGATAAAAGAACATTTTTTTAATATTAACATACTCAGACAAGTTTTGACATTCTACTCGGTTAATACTGAGTAAAGTATAAATAAAGACGAAGATTTTAGCAATGAAAAAACGAAATATGTATTCAAACATAAATTTATAGCATGCAATCATTTACTACTGCTAACTCATAAAAAAAAAGACAATTGTACCAAAGTTTTAAAGGCACGAGGCAAAATTTTAAAATTTGCTTTTTTAAAAAATGTATTTTGTGAAAGTACCGTTTTTCTTAAAGTTGAATTTGTGAAAGTACTGTTTGAACGAACGGTGAATTTGTGAAGGTACCGCTAAACGTTAGCAAATTTGCCCTGGACAAACCCCTGGTTATCACTGTCAAAATATCAGCTTTAACACTGGATATTGTTTCTATTTCATTGTCAAGTAATTTTTTTTCTATACATGTATATGTTATAATCTGGATAAAAATTTTGCTTCCTACACACCACTTCTTCTTTATCAGTTGAAATTCTTATTAAAAATATTACATTTTGAGATAACTTTGGGTGACTCTTAAAGGATTTTCATTTAAGATTCATGAAATAGAAAAAAAAAAAAGCTAATAAAAACTTATCCAATCTGGAAGTCTATACTGCCATGAAAAATCAATGTAAGTGACAAAACATTCAAAAGTGAGATTTTTTTAAATATTTGGCAAGATAAGATACACATTACAAATTTTTTTACTCAAAATATATTTTTTATCAGTTTTCTGACATTCTATTTTAACCTTGATCATATTAGCAAAGGGGAAAAAATAGTTACCAGACAGTTTTTCCAGTAATACAGTGATCAGGATACATAGCCAAATTATTCAACAAAAATAAGCACCTTTTTAGCACTTTTCAAGCACTCAAAATTTATTTTTAAGAACTTTAAAAAATCATAATTAGGCACGGTTGGAAAGTTTTTGACAATTGACGGTTTTATCTAGTTTTAACCATCATGTCAAAAAAATAATTTTGCCATTGCTTTTGACAATTGTTAAAAATTATGAAGTTTTGAATCATATAAAACGAATGGCGTTTTCATACACTACGAACTGATAATACGCTGAAATAGATTGGGGTTGAATGAAAAACGTTGAACAGAACAAGGTGAACTCGTAACACATTTTCATAATTTGCAGCTAAAATCAACATGGTAAAGGAAAAATCTCATTTTGAAAAAGGGAAAATTAAACACTTTTTAAAAACACCCAATGAAAAAAAGCACCTTTAAAAAAACGCTACATAACCTGTTGATTTTTTTTCAATTGCAAGTCAATATACCACACCCCTCAAAATTCATTGTCATAAAGCTAAATATTTAAATTTAATTTTTTGAAAAATAACTAGATTTTCAAAAGAACCATGTTTTTGTGATACACACAAAGTAAATTATGTGAATCAAATTAAAATTATATTCCAAAATATTTAACTTTTATAAATTTAAGGAGCAGATAGGCCTCCTTTAAGATACTTTAAAGTATACTAATCTCACCCTTGCTGCATCAAGTCTTCAGTATTTTAGAAAACTAAGTAATTAATAATAAATATTTCTTACATTCTCTGTTGTCATTGACTGTTCCATCAAACTTGAGGGATTTATTTCATATGAGGCATTCAAACCACATTCTGCTTCATCCATTTCTTCTATTTGTACTTCAGGTTTAGTTGAATATGTTTTGCTACAGTAAATATTAGATTCTGAATGGGCAGACTCTGTCAGTCTGGATTCTAATGGGTCTAAACTAGTCTCAGTCACTTGCATATTAGAGTTTTCAGCATCAGGTTTTTCAGTTGAGCAGGGGTCCGTAGTATTTTCTCTAATATCAGTTGATGGTGAATTTATTTCATAAGAATCATCATCAGTAACAGTTTTAGTTTGAACACCTTTGATTTTTAAGTAGTTTGCAACTTTGAGAATTTTTGATAACTGATTCTGTGAAACATTGACTTGTCCACAATAAATAAAGTCAACCAGTGCTTTCATATCTGTATATTTTAATTCAGGAAGAATGACAATAGGATGTGAACAAGGATTGTTCAAGAAGAGATCACGAAAGAAAGCGCTGGCAGTTGCCAAAACTAGTTTGTGAGCTTTTAAGCTTATACCATCACAGGCTAGAGTTACATCACATAAGTATTCTTTATTTAATAAATCTACAAATCCATCTAACAAATTGGTTTGATGATTGTCCCATTTTAAACAAAAATGCTGCTCCTCCTCCATTTGATCTAAAAATAAATCATAATATTTATTTATCAATGAAATATAGATTTTATGTTAATCGGGAATAACACTTAGTAAACCTTTTTCACAAATTTATGTACTACAGAAAATGCTGAGCTTAAATATAAGAAATTAATTACAAAAGAATATTAGAGGGGGAGAAAAGTAAAGGTTTTAATCGATACTTATCAGGGGCGGATCCAGAAATTTTTCCTGGGGGTGGGTGGGGTGTTATAGACTCAGATTCCCCCTCACACACATACAATTAATTTTTTTTTAAAATATTTCTTTTGAAAAAAATAAATAAAAATTGGGTTTTTAATGCTAGTCTTCTCATTTATTTTTTCTGTAATGAACTATAGAACAATACATAAATAATTCAAGTATTCAACATCTTTAAATATTAAATGTAATGCATTTTTTTAGAAACTTTGGCAAAACTGTCAATGATTTTTTCAACATCCAAATCAATTTCTCGATGAACGTTTAATAATGCGAGTCCATTTAATCGTTCTTGATTTTGAGTTTTAAAATCAAGAACGATTAATAATTTTTAAAATATTTTATTTCTTTCGTAAACTATTAAAAAAATTATTATTTATATATTTTTTTTCAATTTGGGGGTCCACCACTGATACTTATACACAACTTTGCTCTCATTTTTATTGGCAAGAAACTGATTTGAAAAACCTACACAATTAGCATCAGAATTTTTATAACAATTTTTAAAAATGAAAACAAACTTCGAAAAAACACTAAACTTTAAAATAAAATTTCTGGTATCACAAGATTTAAATTTTTCAGCATTCTAAATATTTCTTAAAAAAAGTCTCCTTTTCAAGACTTATTTTAAAATTAAAGTTATAAATAATTTATAAAAAGTAAAAAAAAAAAAAAAAAAAATATACTATTAATTTTACAACAGAGGTTAAGCACTCGCCATAATTTAATTTTTTTTAAGACAATGTGTGCACAACTTCAAATGTTTTTTAATGTAAAAATATAATTTGGTGCACTTTATATAATATTCTTTTAGACAAAAAGTTTCATATTAACTCTTATATCATTATAATTATATCATTATATTATATCATATATATTATAATTTCATATTAAACTAATAAATAACTAAACTATTCCCAAGTAATGTAAAAATTTAATTTATTTCGGCTCATGATTGCTAAAATTCTTTTTCTGTGGTCCTTTTCAAAAAAAAGGTTTTATTTTTTACAGAAAGGTATTACAATAGTATGAACATAAATTTTTGATAAGAATCAAATCTGTACCTTTCAGCTTCTGTTTCAAAGCTTGAAAAAATTGATAAATTGCATCTTTGCCTTGAGCTGACAATGAAACCTAAAGATCCTTTTATCAATAGGAATTTTTGTTGCCCTCATCAGAAAAAGGTTGGGCACATATAACTCAGCAGTTAAAACCATACAAAATAACATACTCTAAGCTAATTAGATTAAAAAGTTCAAATGAAATAAGAATATACTTTATGTTACACATGAATTAAGCTAAAGGATGTAAATAAAGCCCTAAAACAGACATAAGCTTGAAGAAGATACAGAGTCTGACAAAGGCAAGGGCATACGGGGCAGTTGCCCGGGGCCCAAAATCGAATTAAATGTTTATTTCAGATTTCTTTCTTTAATGAACTTTTCTAAAAGAAAACATCTGTATAGTGTAAAATCCATTTGTTTTATGTTAGCTTCTTCATTAATCTATCGTATGAACACAAAAAAGCTATATTTTGTAAATTCATGGCTTTCTAGTGCGGAATTCAGCTGAATTTTTGCAATTACGATGGACAAATTTGGCCAATCAAAAGCTTGTATTTTTACATATAGCAAAATGTGATATTTTACAAAAATACAGGCCTCTGATTGGCTTAAGTGAGTCATCATAATTGCGAAAATTTAGCTGAATTCCGCCCTATTATCAACAAGGATATGAATTTTTCACAGCTAGATGACAAAGTTAACAATCAGAAATCTGCATTCGGCAAGATGGACATAGAATTGTCAGAAAATCAATAAAATGGTCAGAACGATACCATTAGGGGGGGGGGGACTTTATTGCTATTTTAGGTTTTAGTCTATTTTCTTGTTATATATATATATAATGAGGTGAAAAATTTTAATTCCTCCATATTGTTCAGAGGGGGGCCCCAAAGAAGTTCTTGCCTTGGGCCCTAATTAGGTTATTTCAGGCTCTGAGAAGATAATCAAACAAAGAAAGGTAGATAAGAGACAGGTGTATGTTGGGGGAGGGGTAAATAGAGTGAGAATCCTAAATGTGCAAGTTAAAATAGATTTTTAAATATTAAAGAAGATTGGGATGCTAGATAATTCATTAAATGAAGTATTAAAACTTTTAAAAATATGAAGTAATTCCCAGAAATCAAAATTAATTGCTGAAGAGCACTGTTGAATGATTTTAGCAACAGAGAACTCAAATTGATAAGAATTCCAGCTATGTAATGTGAATAAAGATTATTCAATAACCTGATATGTGAACACATCTCTCATAGTCTTTAAGTACAGGTTTACATGTAAATTCGTCTAATATATGCAAGACCACAATGACAAGAAATTTGACAAATATCATTAGTAAGGTCTGGTCTTTAAGGTAAGTGAAAATTAATTTGATTATAGGGAAGAAAACGACTTTCAACTCAAATTTACTTGGAAACTGATTATCAGTTAAGGTAAAGCAGAGAGTTTATTTGATTACGATTAAATTAGATAGCTGTTCAACTACATGCTTGAAGGAAATTCATATTTAGCAGCGATAGCTTTAAGGCAAAGAAGTTCTTCACTATTAGACCAAATTTTAGAAGCATAATGATTAAACAGTTTTTTAAACTAAGTATGATGCAAAAAAAAAAAAAAAAAAAGAGAGGAAAAACCAGTGGGGCAACGGAGTAGAGAGATCCATGGTTTGAGAAAATATATTTCCAGATATACTTATTTATATACTGGTTTTCTATGAGGTGAAGCCTCTAGTTTGAAATGTAGCTTTTTGTATGAAGGGCTAACAGTGGCTTAAGCATAAATCTTTACTAATTTACTAGAGATAAGCAGATGCAAACTACAAAGTAACTTCCATAATTTTTACAGATTACACTTTTAATAGTATAGGAAGCCTTTGAAATTCATAGAAAAGACCATTTTCTGGTAAATATTTTTTTATTAAATTTGTGAAAAGCTTCTTTTTGGTAATTTTTTTCGTTTCTTTTGAAGTTTAATTTTATTTTTCACACATTGAAAATCTTATATATTTTGATAATTAAAATCAAAACCAGTCCTTTCAATATTTTTATTTATTAATTTAGATTGATTAACATTACATTGTTAAATATAGTAAAACATATTTTATTGGTTCAGAAAAATAAAATTTAAGAATTTTTAATCAAATATTCCATTTTGCATAAACTGCTTATAATAAAAAGTATTTTCGAAACTAATGTATTACTAAGGAAAAATTGCTTTTAACTACTTAAAAACATCAGTAAAATTAACAATAACTTATTTTCTTTAATATGTATTACAAAACCAAAGGTTAGTTATAAATTCTTGTACATTTTAGTATGTTGGAGAACTTTTTTTTTTCTCATTTAGGTTTCATTAACATTTTTAGTAATACAAACAGAGATATTTTTGATTAAAAAATATCAAAAAATAAAAATATTATTATTTGCTTAATCTTTTAGTGGTTTTGAAATTCAAGTTGAATATAAAAGAAGAAAGAAAAAAAAAGGAAATGCCAAACCAACTAAATATGTCATCAACGTTTTAAAATAAAAACCTTAATTACCTATGTAGGATATAAATTTAATAAATGTAATTTTTCCACATTAGTTTTATAAGTCACCAAAATTAGCATCGAATCAGTATAAAAGTACTAAAATTGAAAATGTAAGAACGCTTCGATATATTCCTTGCATTTTAATTTAAGTATTTAAAGGTATAAAAAATATGATTTATCAAAATACAAAAGCATATGATAAAAACACTTCGATTTCATTTTCATAAAGAGATAAAATTATAATGAGTTTAAGAAATATTTATTTTGAACATATTTATTATCTGGTTGCATGTTTTCGCAATGAATAGATGCTTTATAAGTTTATTTTCTTTTAAATAATAAAATATTTCGATTATATTTTTTAACAACAGGAATTTAAAGTTTAAAATTAATTTATTGTTATTTTAAAACAAAAATCAAAACGTTCAAATGGTGATGTAGGAAATAATGATATTCCTGGAAAACCATATAAGCTTTTAATGGAAGCTATTTAAAATTTTTAAACAATTACAATTTAATTATGAAATATTAATTAGGAAAATAAAATGGCACATGCACATCAAAAAGCTTGGATAAATTAATGCTAACCAGGCAACTAGAAAACAGCCTTCGATTTGTTTTCAAACTTCTTTTTTTTATCTTCGCAAACTCCTGAAGAAAATCTTTTTTTTTTCTAGATTGTTTGAATTAGTTCACTTTTGGACGAACAGCAGCTTTTGATAAAAAAACAAAAATCTGTAGCTGACAGCTTCCGTCGCAGAAATCGAAAAAGATGGATAAATAGCGCATGCGCATTTGCCCTGGATTGACGACCCAACCAAGAGATTTCTTTCAGATTAGAACCGATTATGAGCTGATTTGCACGTATTTTAAAAAATAAAATTACAAATATATAACGTATCATTATTGCATTTTCGATTTCAAACGTTTTAAGAGAGTCTCAGGTTAAATATTTGTCAAGATAGACCTTATCATTTACATCTTTTTCACTCCCTAGTAAAGGGCCAGTCTCACTAGATATAATTTCTTCCGCATGTGTAAAAAATTGCATGTGGACGAAAATCTGATTGGTAAATTTTCGCAGGTAAATATTTTCTACCAATCTGATTCTCACACCCGGGAAAAAGAAAATCGATACCAGTGAGAATGGTCTATTGGCGATCGAAATGGGCTGCAGGTGGCGTAGAGCAGAACTCTTTTCCTATGGCAACACTTCACATGCTTTCCCCATTAGCGTGTGGAAAGTCATAGAGGAAGGAAGTACGCTAGTTTCTCTCTTGATTTTCATATAGATTAAAATCCTTTAACTTGAAAAACTATATGGAACTGAAAACTACATTAAACATAGTTCTAAAGAAAAGTATCATGGAGATTTTAAGAAATATTTTTATTATATAAAAAGGAAAAATATTAAGAGAAGGGAAAATATCGTAGTGCATTCCTATACAACTGAAAAAAGGAGGAGAGGGAAGGGAGAAGGGCTGAAGGCATGAAACCGGTCTCTCCCCAGATGGCGTATTCGAGTGTTGCGATCGCGAATATGTGGCTAATATGGCGATCGAAAGTGGCTACAGATGGCGTAGTGCAGAACTCTCTACCTATGGCAATACTTCACGCGCTTTCACCATTAGTGTATGGAGAGTCATAGAAAAAGGAAGTACGCTAATTTCAGTCTTGATTTTTAAATAGATCAAAATCTTTTAAGCTACGAAACTATGTGGAACTAAAAACTGCTTTAAACATTGTTCTAAAAGAAAGCAACATGGAAATTAAAAAAAAAAATATTTTTAACAGTCAAATGCGAAAAATATTAAAAAAGGGAAAACTATCCTATTCCTATACAACTGAAAAGAGGAGGAAAGGGAAGGGCCAAAGTCATGGAACTGGTCCTCTCCCCTGATGGCGTATTCGAGCGTTGCGATTGCGAATCACGGACTTATTGCCAACGTATGTAATTCGCGTGTTGGATGCAATGAGAATGATTCCCAAGAATATAGCAGTGAAATTACCATTATTCAATCTGTGCCACAGTGGACTGATCGTAAAGATACGATTGTCAGTAAATCAACGAACACAAGCATCACTGGTTGCGGTCAGTGAGTGGGTGGTTAACCACTTTGCGATTAGTCTGCGCAGGGATCGAGGGTGTCTAGTATCGGTCATAGTTAAACTATTTTGCCATAAAGTGCCATTTTCATGTGTAACTTTTTGGGCTAATAAAGTAGTGGAGTCAGCCTCTCTGCAGAGGATCAAAATTGTGATATCTGCGAATTATCCTCAAGGTTGTTTCCCAGACGGTCTCTAATAGTCCATTGTGCAGCTCTAGTGATACGTAAATAAAGTCCTACTACTATTCAATCTTTACTTATATAAGTTATGAAACAGCTGCCATCCTTTCAAAATTTAAAATGATAGCCAATAGGAGAAAATGTTCATTTAGTTAAGCTTAAATACGTCTTAAAATTAATTAATTACCACTTAATCAAACTTATTTGCCCAGTCTTGCAAGTTTGAAATTTAAGAATTGACTTTTACTTGCTTAAAGTGCGTTTGTTAGTAGTTAAATGATCGTTTACGTTTGAATGGTGTTTTCTACACTATGAACGCTGAATGCTCTTTACTGTCCATATTTCTGGATTTACTGTATCAGGTTTACTTTGTGACTATTTGTCTCAACCCCTTCATGGTGTTAATAGTGAACACAGTAAATAATCAAAAGACAGTAATAGTGAAGACAGTAAAATCTAATTTTATAATAGTTAACATAAATGGCGAAAAGATAGCAAACATGCGGTTTGAGACGTAATGAAATCTTTAATTTAATATTAGAATGAGAATCGTTATAAACACTTATTACCTTCTGAATATATTTGTACTGAGAATGGTTAGCACAGAATATTCTGTATATTTATGAAATTAATAAATTCAAAACACCAATAATCAATATAAATGGTTATATCTTAAATTTGAATGACTTTACCTTGCTTTAATATTCACGATCCCAATGCTCGAATACGCCATCTGGAGAGAAGACCGGTTCTATGGCTTGACTCTTCTCCCTTCCCTCTCCTCAGTTGTATAGGAATGTACTACAATATTTTCCCCTTTCTTAATATTTTTCGTATTTAATTCTCACAAATATTTTTTAAAATTTCCACGACGTTTTATTTTGGAACTAAGTTCAATGTAGTTGTCAGTTCCATACAGTTTCCAAGCTTAAAAGTATTTAATCTATTTTAAAATTAAGACAGAATCTAACCTACTTCTTTCCCGTATGACTCTTCACACGCTAATGGTGAAAGCAGACGAACTATTGCCATAGATAGAGAGCTCTGATCTACGCCACCTGTAGCCCATGTCGATCATCAATAACAAACACTTTCATTAAAAGTTGGGTAACTTTCAAATTTATTAAAGCTATTCCACACATAGGAATAAAAAATCCATGATAAAAACGGATAAAATATATTACATTCATAGGCACAGTTTATAAATAAAAATGAACATAATATGAAAAGTATATAATTTGAAAAGATGCTCTATATTAAAAAAATCATTAAAAATTACAATCTTAATATTTTGCTTAAGTTACATGTTTGGCGCATAAACAAAAAATTAGTCAAGGTTTTAAATTTTTATTTAATACGAAAACAAATGTGATGATTGTCACATGATGAAACATGTATAAGTAAATAAATACAGTGATGGAAGTGAAAAAAAAATTAAATAGCACAATGAAACATTTTTTTATACTTTGAATATGCATCCATTGCATTTAAATATCTTCTAGCCACTACAGTTTGTCCATTTATTTTTATGTTTATGATTTTTATGTTTATTTCAAGTTTTATGATTCGACGAGCTCCATTGTTCTTTTACTGATGAGAATAGTTGTAATGTTTAACATTCAAGTAAGACCTAGAATCGGACAAGAAATTTGCTCAACAATTCTTTTTTCAGTATCATTAGTCAGGTACACAATGCCAGATCAAGCGCCAATTTTTGATATTGAGATAGTGATTAACATTTTGGTTTCCAAATTCCTTTTGGTTGGTTGTTGGTAGCTTAAAAACTGAAAAGAGCTACTTAGACAGATGTAGCTTAGCAGGACAATGTAACCTCTTCTACCCGACGAAGAAATTTGTTGACCTGTTCGGATTCGTTGACCACATTACAATTTGCCTTCATAATCTGCTGTACGATGCCGCATAAGAATAGGAATACTATTTTTCTCCTTCCACTTGCTATAGAGCTTAACACAAGACTGCATTCATCACAAATTTATCTTTGTATTACACTGTAATAAAAAAAAGTGTCCTTTGCCAGCCTTCACAACTTCAGTATCGAGTAAATGTCATTTTAATTATTGCTTGAAAAGTCTCTTAATCTCATTAAAATACATTATTTTTGAAGTTTTATTATTATTTATCTACATTGGGATATAAATAACTAGCACAGTTCTTTTACTGTTACTAAATCTTTTTTACTATCATCTTTTCTTACGTTAGCAAATTGTTGCTGTATTTCTTCTACCGTTATTCCTTTTGTCTCTGGTAGGCAAAAATAAGTAAATATACACGACAAAACAGAAAAAGAGGCATATAAGAAATAGACACCATAATCGTGTATGGATATTGTCAAACCTTGAAATGTTTTTGTTATAATAAATACAAAAAGCCAACATATTGCTGTAGCTGCTCCACAAATTAAACTTCGACTTCGCACTGACGTCATTTCTGCCATCATAAGCCAAGGAATTGGTCCAAACCCTATAGAAAATGCAGAAATGTATACTATAAGGGCAGCAAGAGGTATCCATCCATAGTCTGATTTCATTGATGCGTTTGATATACTCAAATAATCATAAGTACCGAATATGAATAAACTGATAGCCATACCCATACCCGAAATCATCAGTAGCAACTTCCGACCGCATCGGTCCATCAAAACACTACTAATTGCCGTAGCTACAACTAAAACAGCGTCAACTATCACGGTTCCTTCATTAGGATCAATAGAGCTTTGTGTCGCATTAAATATTTCAACAGTATAAAATAGAACGGCATTGGATCCCGTGGTTTGCTGGAAAAATACTAACGAAAAGGATAACAATGCTGGAATTATGAACTCTGGCTTTTTAATTTCTTTAAGAGATATAGATCCTTTCGGTTGGAGACGCATATCTTCATCAATAGAGACGCATTCTGCTGATGCATCGACAGTGTCCCCTTGCAAAAAATTTATAGCTGCAACTGCTTCTTGGTATCCACCTTTTCCAATAAGCCAACGTGGGGATTCTGGTACAAATGCCATTCCAACTATTGCTACAACTACAAGTACTGCTGAAGGCACGCACAGCCATTCCCAAGACAAAAATATACCAAGAGCATTAACAATAAGGACGCCAGTAACTATGAATAGTTGAAAGGATGCTCCAAGTAATCCACGTACGTTCGGTGTAGATATCTCAATTAAGTATGGAGGAATTGTGACACATGTTATACCGACGCACATTCCTGTGATGAAACGACCAAGATAAACGTAGACAAAATGGTCAGCATACGCAATGAATCCCCATCCTAGCATGAATGGAATAGAGTTCAGCATAAGAGTTCCTTTTCGACCAAATCGATTGCCTAGAAAGCCTGAAAATAAGAAATATGATATTATTTCATTTGCTTCAATTATTTAATTATTTATTAATTATAATAATTATTAAGTATAATTATTATAATTAATTATAATAATGTATAATTATAATTATAAAAAAACAATACCCGGGGAAGAAGATTACACTTCGAACTGTACAAGATTTATAAACAACCTGATATTATTAAATACATAAAAATAAATAGAATGAATTGGATGGCCCATGCGATTCGAATGAGTGATGACAATACAATAAAAAAGATACTGCTTTTTAAATCCACTGGAACAAGAAAGCGGGGAAGATAGCAGTTGAGATGGTATGACTCAGAGGAGTCTGATTTTCCTGCAATTAATGAAAAGAATTGGAGATCAAAGATAGATCGGAAGTCGTCATAGAGAAATCTTCAGAGGAAGGCATTGGCTTACATTGGGCTGTCTGGTCAACTATGATGATGATGATGTAATTATTAATTACACATTTATTATATTAATTATAATAATTATTTATTAATTTTTAATTATAAAAATTATTAAGTAATTATTAATTAATTTGCCATTATAATAATTATTAATTAATCATTAGTTATAATATTATTTAATTTAATTTCATTTTTCAATTACTATATGATATGCATGATAAGTTTGCTAAAATATTTCGTTAATGTCAGGAGTATGGTGATCAAATTTCTAAACCATGATTTGACGACAAACCAGCGGAGTTTCACTTAAGATTTTACGATTCGAAGATAACCATATAATTATAAAAAAACATGAATTTAAAAGTGCAGCAATTATTTTTTTTTTAATTTATTGATAACTAATATCAGGTGCAGAACCTGATATTAGTTATCAATTTTGATTTTATTTCTAAGTATAGTTTTGAAGCAGCATTTGATATTCTGTATTTGTTTAACTCATGTAAAATGATTGAGTACATACTTATTTCAATTTTTTATATTTTTTTGCTGAGATTATTTTCAGATGACTATGGAGTTTTCAACAGTTAGTTTCAGTATGGTGCTTTTTTGCTTTTCGCTTGCATTCTCTATGGAACAAAATTATCTTAATAAAAACCACCGGCTCACTTTTGATCTTTTTGATACTTTACTGCAAAAAAAAAAGAGGAAAAGTTTTTGGAGAAATCCAAGCACATTAGAAGACAAATGTGTTAAAAGTTGAGGACATTTTCTGTTCTCAAAGAATTTTAATGTTTTGAGGACAACTACGGAAATTTGAAGACAGTTCCGAAGACATGTTTATGAAGCAAGCTGCCTCAATATTCCTGGTATAAGTTAGACAGATGTTTTTCAAAAGTTTATGTTTGGAAAAAGGTTATGAGAAAGAGAGAAATTTAAAAAAAGTTTCTTGCAAGAAATTAATTCATTTGACAAGGTTTAAATTTCCTCTTTGAATTCCAGATTTTAATTCAAACTGATTTCAATGGATGGTGTTGCAGTTAATAAACCTATAAATCAAAGAAAAGTATTTAAAAATCCCATGACAGCATGTCACATTGCGACATGTGATTGCAGGTGATGGCCAATAGTTCAAGAATATTATAATGTGATTTTTATTAATTAAAATATTTAAGAAAAAAATAGATGCCATTTTCATTTATTTTTCTTAGGTTCATACGTTTTCCATATTCAGCGCCATCTCTCGAAAAATGTTTGAACTAAAAACGGGAACTCTGTGTAAATCTAATCATAAATTTGTTTTATCATTAATTTGTTGAAAATATTTTGTTGTTTTATTATTTTTTTTTATTAACATGAGCTGTTTCTCTGTTATAAATTTTTGAAAACTGTCAGTTTAACGTAGAACTCACCGTATCTGTTATCATCAAATGTCTTAAAAATAAATAAATCAACGATTTTACTCAGTTTAATTCTCTAGATTTGTTACTGAACTACAAGAGAACTTTTTATAGCCAAAAGTTAGAATGAATTGGGAGTTCGAAGGAAAACATAATCGACTAGCTAAAACTTATTTTATTCTTATGTTCTTTTTATTTTTGTGTTCTTCTTATTTTATGTTTCTGTCAGCGGTAAAATTTCTTGGCGAAAAAAAAAATAAATAAAAAAACTATTATGTTTAATTTTTAAATGTAATTTTCATGATGAAAAGCCAAAACAAGAAATATTTCATATGACACCATAATCGTGTATGGNGTTTTTAAGTATTTTCTCTATTTATATACTCTGTTCTAAATATTGTTTCTTAATTCATTGCTTACCAAATAAGAAATATTAATATATTTCAAAAAGATAAATATTTCATTATTTCATCAATCTTTCTTTTGTAAGCAAATGAAAAATGAGATTAATTCACAGATTGTTTGCCCTGCTAAGTCTTATTTTAAATTCATAAATAGTTTTAAATAAATAGTAATATTTATTTGAAAAATAATGAATTTATATATTCACTACATTTATTTTTAATTAATTACTTTATTTTAAAATGCCTATCATTAGTTTTGCTTAACCCATTTAGTTCAATTATGTAGTTCCTTTTTTTCAGTTTTCTACTGAACTGACTTTGAGATTGACTAACGTTTCTTTGCAGCGCCATCTGTAGTATCTGAAAATAACTTCACTGCTAGAAAAATCCTAGTAATGTATTTCTACTAGGTATCAAACAAAGTACTATCAGAAACAATTTTTAAAATTATTTTACCCTAAAATTCTAAAATCACTAATTAAATAATTAATTCAATGGAATACAACATGAAGAAATTTGAAATGAAGAGCTTTAGATTGAAAGGAGTTAGTAAAATAAAAAGAACCTCAATAAGCACCGTCTCATTTTGATTGATCACTTTAACACCCTACCCTTCATCTATGTATAACTGAAACAAATCTATCTTTTAATTGAAACCAAAGATATTTTTTAATTTTCAGAAAATATGCAAAGTGACCTTTATGTTAAATAATTGTGTAAAAATAAAATAGCTTTATAAATGTGTAGCAAAATGTGATAAGAAAATATCTAAATATTTTTTTTTGCATTTTATTCTTACAAAATTTGCTAAAATTGATTTTTTTAATTGAAATTTTGAAAGGAATCATGAACTGATTCTGATACTAAATAACTTCACTTTCATCTTATATATTTTTTTTAAAATATCATAAATGAAAATATCATAAATTTTTTTAAAAAAAATCTTTTTTATGCTAAACTTACACACTTCAAAAATTAATGCTATCCACGAGGTTTAAGCTGTCCCTTTATATTAAATAAAATAATTCACAAGAACTGCAACCGTTGCTTAAAGTGTTAAACTAAACGTTACATTTTCTTTTGCTGCGCAAAAACAATTCAAAATTGAAATTACTAAGAACAGTAGAAAATTGTACATGGAGTATGCACACGGAAAAATAATCTGTAGTGATTAGCTCGAGAATTAATGACTGCTTAAGTTAATCATTCTGACGACTACAGAAATAAATATACAGAGTTTTCAAATCATATATGCTCGAAAATTATTCAAAACTCGAATTTGTTTGAAAGTTATTTTAATTACAAGTGCTTTTATGCTTGTTTTTCCTCTCTTCTTTTATTTACGTTACATTTTGTTTTACTGCGCAAAAGCTATAAGATTTAAGCATTAGAAATACAGGGAGTATAGCGAAATAAAAAAATAACGTTCGACAGTTAATTTATTAGTTATCAATTCTTAAACTTATACGGAAAAAATACCATATTTTGTTAATTTTTAACCTCTGAAATACTGCTGCGGAGTTAAAATTTGATGTGCCATTTTTATTTGTGAACTTAACGCCAGTTTTGTTTCGAAAATTCAATTTTTTTCAAAGTTATTGAAAATTTATGTTTTTTTCCTAATTTTATTTTATTTAAAATATTGACTATTTATCCGTTGTTGCAGAAAATGTGTTTTTTTCCTACGAAATCTTACATGTTACCAGGTATAAATCTAACATTAGTTTAATAAATTAAAATACAACTTAGAGAAAAGAACATTAAAAAGTGTTTGTTATTTGGATTATTATAAGTCTCGCCATTTAGTAAAATAACTTCTCATTTATTTCTTTTTAATGTATCACATAACTGTATTCTTTAAGTTAATTTTTTTCAAGTACAGATGATTATTTTTAAAACCTAGGTAATCACCTATTTCGTTATGTTTAACGCGTTAACGAAATATTCGTACGTAAAGCTAATAATTATATATTTTGAATACAAAATGTCCTGTGTATTCCTGAAAAATAATGACGTTTAAGAAAATGAAAAACGCTAGGATAAATGTGAAACAAATACTAGTGGTGGTGAGTGCAGCTTTCAAGTTTTCGAAAGTTTCATAAAAAATACATTTATTTAAGCTCACATTACTGCTAAAGACCGTAATCTGAGAAAAATCGACATTTTTGGTAAATGTCCGTATTTATATATGCACTTCTGTAAATGTTAGTAATATCTGTTGAATAAGCAAACACCAGAGTCTCTTAATTACAAAGTAGAATTGTTCTTGTTTAAAATATTCTTTAGAGAAAATTTCATGTACGGGGGATGGATATTTTTGCATTTATTGAAGTAAATACTATAAAATATTTTGTGTAATACGTTTAAAAGCATATACGAATGAATTTGTATCAGAGATAAAGTTTATGCATATTGCAAAACAATAGAGTTGCTTATTTATACATAGAATCTTGTTATTTCTTAATCGCCATATTTAATAATGTTAATGGTTCCAGAAATAGGAACGCATAAGAGCTTAAAGTTTGTACCATGAATTCGGGACCACCCTATATATATATATATATATATATAAAACCAGTTTGATTGCCTGATAAAACTTGAAGGTTATCCTTTACCAAATTTTTACTTTCTTAGTTTCCGTCAACAATTAAACAGGTTTCGATGTTTCAGTCATGCTTTCTTTAGTAATGATTCGTTAGAGTTCGGCAGCGTTTTTGTCATTTCTGCGCTTAAATATTAATTGACGTCTTTAAATATTAATTGATGTTGGAAAAAGAAGCTTATTAGATCTGAAGTAAGATTAGAGGGGTTAATACCGGGTAGCTAAGGTTTGAAGGTCTGATGGGGGTAAAATGTTTGACCTAGAAACTGTCTGATTTAACCAAAACATTCATTGTTTTTTTCTATTTTATAACCGTCGTTGAACAGCCGACCCAAATTTGAGTTCACGACTACCAATGTTCAAATCCGCTTCCATGTATTTTTGAACCCGATCCAGAAGACAAGGGAACTCCTGGATCCTGGATTAGGAGAAATTTGTCTTCGCGGAGAACATTTTGACGGAACTAACCCGTATTTGCGTTACATGGAGAGGAAAACCGCGAAAATCTCCAACGATTAGTCAGATGGCAAGGGGACTCTATAACCCGTGATCCGTCTACCACTGAGGATATTTTACGCCAGCACTGCGGTCGGTGCAAGCCGTGTGTGGACTTCGAATCAAGCAGCCACTCTAGGGATTCGAATCCGGTTTACTTCATTGGGAGGCGAGTGCTCTATCCATTGAGCCAACGCAGCAATAAATAAGGATAGCTTAAAAAACAAGAGAACATTAGAAAGTTGACATAGTAAAACAAAATTTATCTGCATAAACGCCGTAAATTAATCAACAATTACCCTCTAATATGATAGGTTCTTTTTCTTGACTAATAAAATGTAATTTTGAGTTTGCCAGCAAGAAAATATAACCAATTTTGACGCGAATCTTACCCCATTCTCCCCTCTTTTTTTAGAAACAGACACTTTCATTTTGAAATATTATGCAAGTTTAAAAATGTTTTTTTTTAATGGTAGATCCATCTTTTTATCTATTAAAGTACACTCTATAACAAAATAATCGAGGCACCAAGAAGCAATCATCCGATTGCTTTGAAATTTCATATGCATGAATGTTTTGAACAGATATGGCTGGAATGATGCCGACTGGGGACGTATTGTCTTTAGCGACCAAACCCGCTTCCAACTGTGTCCTGACAATCATCGAAGACGTGTTTGGAGACGCACAGGGCAGAGGGGGGATCCTGCCTTCACTATTGTACGCCACATCGGCCCTCAACAAAGCATTATGGTCTGGGGTGCCATTTCCTTTGACAGCCGAACTCTTTTGGTCGTCATTAGAGGTACACTTACTGCACAGCGGTACGTCGACGACATCCTAAGACCTGTTTTGCTACCGTTCCTTTTGCAGCGCCCTGGGCTGATTTTTCAGCAGGACAATGCCATACCACATACGGCACGTGTTGCTATGAACTGTTTGCAAGCTTGTCAAACTCTTCATTGGCCTGCCAGATCACCAGATCTCTTTCCCATCGAGCATGTTTGGGATATCATGGGAAGGCGATTGCATCTGTCACGGAATGTTGATGACCTCGTTCGACAATTGAATCGAATTTGGCAGGAAATACCGCAAGAGACCATCCGGGAGCTTTATCGGTCTATACCACGCCGTGTGGCTGCTTGTATCCAGGCTAGAGGCGGGTCAACACCTTATTGAACTTGTTACTGTATTTCTGCAATAAATTATTCAATTGTTCTGAAATTTTAATCATTCACTGTTCTGTACATTGTCTTCCTATCCACCAATTTTCGTTTCAATCGGCCAACTCCTTTGTGGTGCGTCGATTTTTTTGTTATAGAGTGTATAATTCAGAGTTTGTCCGCTGGAAAACTGAAATAATTTCGCCAAAATCGAGGTACCTGGTTTCACCCTACTCTGTCCTATATAACTGGTGTGTGGTATATAAGAGTAACATTATTCGGTTCTGTGTCATATCTTTTCTAAAGCAGTGTTGCCACTTATTAGTCCTAAAACCTTTGCATAATGGGGATAATTGCAATAACGTAGTTGCCAACTTCTTTCGAGATAATGTTTTTATCTCGAAATTTATAAATTCGTACTTAATTTTTTTCATAATAAATTTCATTTAGAAATATTTTGATATGAAAATAAATAAAAAATATATATCTATAAATGGCCTAATAATTATGCCTCAAGCTTTTAAGTGTTGATCAAATGTAAAAGAAAAATATCTGTGGACGATTTTTAATTTATTTTTAATTCCATTACTTCTCCAAAAAAAAAAAAAAAAAAAAAAAAAAATTCGTAAAACGTAAAAGTTGGCATAGAACTTTTTTGATTACTTTATCATTTTATTCAATGTTCATAACTATTATGCTTTATCTAATCACTTTAATTATATGTTAGGAGCGAATGCACTAACATGTAATACGCCTGATTAACATGGATGCTTCATTTTATAGAACAAATTCCTTACATTAGAAATCGAGCAGGAACAATTTTTAGTATCGAACACGAGTTAGATAACCATGTGACAAAAGACAATTCTGTCACCTATTGTTTGTTCTATCACAAACACGAGGTTTTCATAATCAATTTTGAGGATCTCAGATATTTTTTTCACGAACGTTACTGGATAATTATTTGATAACTTCTTTTGGCTATTGAAGAACTTCTATGTGAAATTTTACAAACAGATAACTGAGGAAATAAAGAACTTACTGTAGGTATTCAAAAGCTTGCAACATTTTACGTACTAATAAATGCATATTTTTTTTACAAATTTTATACTTTGATGCACCCAATTCCAGCATAAGCAAGACGATATAAAACATCGATTCTAATTAAACGAGTTTAAAAAATGACGTAGTTAACGGTTACGATTAAAATATTAAAATTATGACTTTGTATTTAAAAAGATCTATGAGTTTATGATTTATTAAAAAAAAATATCCTGAACTTTACAAATGTAATTTATTTGAGTACGTAATTATTTAATTAGATTTCTAAGGTGTTCTGTGATCACCACCCTTAATATATATTTTATAATCCTCGTCAAAACTGAAGTGAAAAAGGTATATACTTAAAATGTCTCAGATTAATATTTAATCAATGAAAAAACAAAATCTCCATGGAAATTTAACAAATGACTACTGAGGAAGTCGGGAGTCAAGACATCAAAACTTGTTTGATTGTTGGAGAAAAAAAAAAGAGAGTTAAGACTATGTGACTTTGAGAAATACCTCAATTTTTTTTCTAGCAATCAAACTGGTTCTGATGTTTTTCACTTTGTCATCCTCGCTAATGTAATATAGCGTTTTTTTATTTATTTCTTAGCTTACATTATATTTTATTTTTATTTCATAACCGTCGTTGAACAGACGACCCTGCATTGAGTTTACTACTACTGTTCAACTCCGTGACCTTGTAATTCTGAACTCAATCCTGAAGACAAGGAAACTTCTGGATCAAGTATTGGGAGACATTTGCCTTTGTGTAGGACTTAATGATGGAACTAACCCGCATTTAAGTTACATGGCGAAGAAAACAGCGAAAACCTCCCATTGTTAGCCTGAGGGCAGGGGGACACTAACCCATGATCCATAAATACCTCTGAGGATATTTTACGTCAGCATTGTGGTCGGTGCGAGCCGGGTGCGGAATTCATATGAATCAGTCATTGCTAGGATTCGAACCTAAGCTACCTCATGGGGAGGCGAGAACTCATTCCTCTAAGCCACGTCGAATCCGTATGTGATGCTTTTTGGGCTTCATTATTGGCAAGATTTCTAAACATTGACATTGATTGCGAATCGCACTGTATTCTCGAACTGTAGGTAGTGGATATGGCAAGTATTTGTTAATTTATAAACATAAACTGCACGAAAAATGATAATTAAATGGTTATTTGTTCAATGAAATGAATTTCTTTTAAAAATGAGCTGATGAAAATGTATTTACATTCTTGATTTCTTTTGCATTTTATCAAAGAAAGAAATAACTTTCAGAGTCGCATATACTTCTGTCATATTGCTCAACAACTTAATTTACTGTAGAAGCCTTATTATGTAATACGCTAATTATTATGTAATATATTATTCTATAATATCATTTTGTGATCTACAGATTTAAGAAGGCGAAGAGAACAGAATCATTTTCTTGATAGAACAAATCAAAGTGGTATGATAGCATCTTAAAATCTTCCAATGGCACGTGAGCAAAGGTTAGGGATTATATGGCTACGTTTAGAAACTGGCATAATTGTTCAACAACAATGCTGTTGCCGCAATTAATATGAAAAGTATGTTTTTATAAATAATAATCAGTACTTACTGGCGACTATGCCTCCCAGTACGGCTCCAAGAGCTATAATACTTCCTATCCATGCTACTTGACCATTATCTGGCCTTAATGGACTACTAGATCTTTGCATGTCCGCAGTTGCAGATGCGGAATAACCGCATACCATGCCGGTAGCCATTGCAAACGATAAAGCAGCAATTGCTGCTAAATACATTTTTGGGAAACCACATTTTCTAGCAGTTAAGTTATTGGAATTACTGAAATCAGCCATTTTTTAAAACATGTCCATTCAATCACTTAAAAATCATAGAATGAGAAATATCCAACAACTGTGTTTTGTTTCACTTTTTTCTGTTTGGTGACATAACTTTTCTAATTATCTTATCTTTCACTGATACTTTATCGCACTATATTTTTAAAAATTCGCACTTTTTCTTCCTAATCTAATAACAACACTCATTTAAATCTGGGTTTTATAAATAAATATATTGCCTGTATTTTTATTGCGTTTATGAAAGTTAAATGTTTATTTGTCATTTTATATTTATTACTTCTCTATCATTTGCGCGTGATTTGGGATTGGATTACCGAAAAAAGATCGAATTGCGTCTCACTCTATTTTTGTTTCTTTTTTTTATATTCTTTTCTTTTTAAACCTTCAGCCAATTTATTATGCTTAAATGCACAATTTGTCTTAAATTAAACTTATTTACATGCACAATTATTTACTTTTTTTATTTGATACTATTTGTATATGTTTTGAGAGTTAAAGAGGAAATGAAATTACTGTTTGATAGTTTCGAATAGCGTCGAAATGCTGGACTGGTCCAAACAATAGATTCACTCTTATTAGTGTTCAGCGAAATTATAGTCTCACTTAAATTTTCTATAAGTTTAAAGAAATAAACAACTGTTATTGACAATTGTCTCTTTAGAACTTTAAATTATGCTTTTATATACCATATCTAACAATGCATACTTCTCAATTAAGTTTATTTATGACAAAATTAATAGCAGTATACTAACCAGATATCCATATTCTATGTTAGGGACAAAAATTATATTTTGTAAAAATAATCAAAATAAGTAGAATTTATTACATACCTTTACTATAAAAAAATTGCACAAAAGTTAAAAATCACAACTAATTATTACTTGTTTGCAGGTCCCGCAGTGGACTGATCGTTAAGACACGGTTCCCAGCAGATCACCGAAGTCAAGCATCACTGGCTACGGTCAGTGTGCGGGTGGGTGACCACTTGGATCAGTCTGCGTAGGGACCGAGGGTGTGCGGTATTGGTCCTCGCTAAACTGTGCTGCCGTAGAGTGCTCGACTTCGCGCGCAGGTCGTCGGGCTACCGAAGCGGGGGTGCCATCCCCTCCGCAGAGGATCGAAATTGTGATGGCATGTCTTCGGATCATCCTCCGGGATGTTTCCCAGACCGTCGCCAATAGCCCATTGTGCAGCTCTAGTGCGACGTAAATTAACAACAACAACAACTTGTTTGCAGAGCTAACAGTTAACTAATTATTAACTGTTAACACTGCAAAAATAGCAGAATACGTAATCGTAAATTTTCATGGCTAGCTTTGTTTTTAAATAAAATTTTTTAAAATTTTCTTTTGTTTTCAAGATGCTTCGCCTGAGAACGCGTACCCCGCCAAACTGTTCCCGTACCCCTGAGGGTACGCGTACCACACTTTGGGAAACACTGCAATAGGAGAATATTTTGTTTTCAAAACAACTAGTATTCTTATAATGCTTATGGACATAAAAAGTATAGAGTAACATTAGGACGAATGAATTTATAAGCGTGATTACTTACTTGATAAGCTGATGTAAACACAAGCATTAAAAATATTCTCATAGGAAGTTTTGCTTCATATGACTTATGGAATCGCAATGACTCAGGGGATAGAGCGTTCGCCTTTCAATGAGGTGAACCGGGTTCGATCCCGGCGATGGCTGGTCGATACGAATTCCGCATCTGGCTTGCACCGAGCACAGTGCTGACGTGAAATATCCTCAGTGGTAGACGGATCATGGGTTAGAGTCCCCTTGCCGTCAGGCTAACAGTGGGAGGTTCTCGTGGTTTTAGTCTCCATGTAACGCAAATCTGGGTTAGCCCCATCAAAAAGTCCTCCACAGAGGCATAATTTCTCTCAATACTCGATCCAGGAGTTCCCTTGTCTTCTGGATTGGGTTCAAAATTACAAGGCTACGGAGTTGAATATTAGTAGTCGTAAACCCATAAAATTGGGTCGGCTGTTCAACGACGGTTATAAAATAAAATAAAATAAAATATGACTTATGACTCCATAGTCTGTGAGCTCTACCAATTACTCCTATCATATTGAGACGTTGCAATACAAAAGCTGCAATATACATTACAATCGTAACAGGTGAGTTAAAAGTAATTTCAAAATCTGAGAATCAATTTTAGAATTATGAGTTTAGAATTATAATGTAAAAAAATTTTAGGTGATTTTTTTCCTGATGCATTTATTTTTACGATATGACGTTATAATACAAAATTAATTTTAACTACGTTTTCATAATCTCCGTTTGATCCAGTTGAAAAAATATATATACTGCGATCACTAAACTATTCTTTTAAGTAAACATCTAACTTTATAAGGATGTAAAAAGGGAAAAATAAATAAATGGGCCAACCTAAATAACTTTTGATACAATGATCGAATCTTAGACTCAGTCTTAACAGTTCGAGGGGGTGACTTTAAATATGCTAATTAATTAGGGCAGACGATATTTTAAGTTACGAAATCAGACACAAAAACCTACTTCTTCAAAATAAAAAAAATATTTTTCGGTGGATTTGGATTTCTGACCCCCAAAATATAAGAGGTAGCCGCAATCTGGGACATATGGTCCCCATAGTTTGATCAGGGGAACGAGACAAAGTTTGGACCCTCTGATGTTAATTCAATTTTTTGCGTATTTCGCCATATCCCGAAAATTTTTTAAGTGACTTGAAACATTTTTGCACACATTTATGAGATTTGTTTATCCAATAATTCCAGGCAAAAAATAAGTTTTAGGAAATATTTATTATTTTTATTGCTTTAATGAATAATAGTTGAAAAAAAATTGAATTGTAAGATGAAAAATTTTTTACGTCATTTTCAAGCATTTAATTTCACATTGTAAAATACAAATTTTAACGAAATCGGTTGAATAGTTTCTGAGAAATCATATTTTAAATATACGATGCTTACAAAATTCAATTTCTCAGGAACTACTCAACCAATTTCGCTCAAATTTTGTATCTCACCAATGTAAAATTCAATCCTTTGAAATTATGTAAAGAATTTTATACCTTGCAATTTTTTTCCAACAATCATTAAATAGAATAATTAGCAACAATAAATATTTACTGGAATTTATTTTTTGTAGGAAATTATGTTTCGATAAACGAGTTTCATAATTTTGTGGGCAAAAATTTTTCAATTCGGCTAATAAATTTTCGAGATATGACGAAATACACAAAAACTAAAATTAACATTAAGGGGACGGACCAAAATTTGGAGCGCTCTTCTGACCAAACAAAAAGGCGACTACCCCCTATACTTGAGCCGTGGTGGCTCAGGGGATAGAGCACTCGCCTCCCAATGAGGTGTACCGGGTTCGATCCCAGCGAAGTTGGTCGAATCGAATTCTGCACCCGGTTCGCACCGACCACAGTGCTGACGTAAAATATCCTCAGTGGTAGACGAATCAAGAGTTAGAATCCCCTTGCCATCAGACTAACCATGGGGTTTTCCCGTGGTTTTCCTATCCATGTAACGCAAATGCGTGTTAGCCCCATCAAAAAGTCCTCCACGAAGGCAAATTTCTCGCATTACTTGATCCAGGAGTTCCCTTGTCTTCTGGAATAGGTTCAAAATTACAAGGCTACGGTGCTGAATGTTAGTAATCGTAAGCCCAAAATTGGGCTGGCTGTTCAATGGCAGTTATAAAATAAAAAAATATCCCCTATATTTTGGAGGTCAGAAACCCGAATCCATCGAAAAAAGGTATGTCTCAAACCATAAAGATTGAGTCCTAGAACTTTGAGATCCGATCATTAGATCAAAAGTAATTTAGGATGGTCCCTTTTTAATTTTGCGCACTTTACATCCTCATATATGTCGAGCTCTCATAGATGTTATTGAGTGCATCTTAATAAACTGAAATAGAAAAAAATCATCGATATAATTTATCTCTGATTTTTCATACAGTTAATATAAATAATTTCATATTAAATATATTTATTTTTTTACAAATAGACTATTTAAAAAGAGTACCGTAAACCGGGGTGAGTCTACCCATTTTTTCAGTTTGTCAACTTTCAAGTGGTCAAACTTTTGTAAATATTAAAGAAAAAAGGCTTTTAATAGGTGTTTCGGAATCGCTATTTATCCCTCTTTAAAGCTGTGAAATCGATTTTAGAAAATATTAACAGTTACGCTGTTACTGTATATTTTTATAGAACTGCTGACAAATCTCTCGTATGGGGCGAGTCTACCCATTCTACTAAAATGAATGTTAACATTGTAAATAATCAAATTTTACTATTAAATTGTTATTTTAGTTACTATATAGGATATTTATGAAGTAAAATTCATAACTTTATTATATATTCCATTTTTTTATTCATAAAATAACACAAATTGAGTATTTGATCGATTATCACATTTTGATCACAGTTTTGTTTTTATAATCATTAACATTATAAAATAACATTTTTTTCTGATTATTGTTGATAAAAATAAATTAAAATTAATATAAATTTACAATTAAATAATTAATAAATAATAATAATTAAAGATTATTAACAAAATCGAAATTCAAACATTGGGAATCATGAAAAATCCTTTTCCCATTCTTTTGGGAGGTAATAATAATTTATAAATAATAATTTATTTAACTTGCATTAAATAAAAAAAGTTAATTTTGTAATATAAAAATTGAAAAAATAGGTAAAATAAACATATTTTATATTTACATTTATATTTAACCTATAAATTTTCTTATTAATGATAAATTTATCAATGCAGAATTAAAATAATATACTCAAATTCATTTAAAATGACTTAATTTTAATATAAACAAAGTTCTAAATTATATTATTATGCTTTATTAAAACTAAATACGAATGGGTAGACTCGCCCCGCGAATTCTGGCTTTTTGTTTACAACAGCAAAACTTACATTCTTTTTGTTTTTTTTTATATAAAATTAATGTAATCTTAGTCTTAGATAAGTTTATCACTTAACCAAAGTGAAAATAGTAATAATAATAATATACTTACGGAGCACCAACTAAAAGTTTGCTGATTTTCAATACAAATCTCTCAAAAGACGTTTGAACAGGTCGGTT